AAATTGCAGCCTCTTGTGGCTTTGGTGCAATTCACAGCAGCAGGAAATCAGCACAGAGTCAGCGTGGATCATTATGAAAGCACTCAGAGAGCAGGTATAAAGGAGTAATAAGAAATGACAGAAGGGAAATAGTTTTAACTATGTTCTGAAAATTAGATTGAATAGACTGCATGATTATGTGATAAATATAGCTGTCATTATCACAACAATGGAACCTACTATCTGAATATGTCCTCTTGGTCTTCCTGTCTACAGGTATTGCATTCTGACAGCACTCAAACCTTTTTCCTTTCGTCTTTTGAGTAAAAGAGGTAAATTATTATCGACACAAATTATACTCTATCACATTTAGATAATCGGAAAGTAAGATGCATTACAGGCAAAACTTGTGCTGGCACAAATCATTAGATTCTGAAAATGTGATAGCCTAAATTGACATTTTCTGTGCCACGTGTACAACATGCCTAAAGCCATTTAAAACCTTTTTTTTTTAAAGATTTATGATATTCTAGGTTGTGTCAAATAAATGCAGCATAAGTAGAAAATGCTGTGTTTAAACTGTTGAAAAGTGAGTAACTTCCTTCTTTGCATTTTCTTATTACCATGACTGCAGGGACACACATCAATCATCAGCAACACCCTAAACAGAATTCTGTCAGAAAAAATTGATAACTGAAACTCCAGACACTTGTATATTTTGGCTCCATTTATCTACACTTGTCACTGCGAGCTGCAAAGTGTTTGAGATTAAATGGACCCATCAATTTGCCAGAGGCAGCCACAGGTCTGGTTCAGTGCCAGAGCGTTTATTCTGTGTAGTTCCTGATTTGGGATTTGATAACGTACCATACTTTGCAGAATCAAAAAACCCTGCAGGCATTTAGTTAATCTTTGCTAAACTTGTAGATTGCTTCTGTGTAGCATGTCATACCATCGGATGACCCGAAACAAATCTTATACGCAAGCTACATGTGATGCCATGACCTCTGAAAATGGAGGCATGTGAAGCAGAAAATGAGACATGCTAAAAATGAAAACACATTACTTCTATTTCACACAGGAAATATGGTGACTTTGGAACAGTGAGTGCCAATTTTCCGTCTTTTACCTTAAATAGCACACCTGACGTCTTCAGAGTTGTGTGTCACTGCTGCTGCTCTTATTCATAAATTAGAAACCTAATAGCCTGTATAACCCCACCAACAAAATATGTCTTTACTTTACTGTTCTTCTGACCTAGTTTTTTAATTGAAAATCTCCCTGTTGGTAGAAGTTTCTTCCTCCTCTAAGGCCAAAAAAGGAACTGAATTTGACTTTTCACCATTGGTTTGGCTTTATCTGCCTGTCTAATATTCAACTGGCACTGTCCATCCATTCATTATCGTAACCGCTTATTTTCTAATGGGGTCGCTGGGGAGAACTGGAGCCTGTCCCAGTGGTCAATGGGCGAGAGGCGGGGTACACCCTGGACAGAGCTGGCATTATGATTTGTTTTTTGTTTTCTTTCAAGTCCACATACGGCAGAGACCTGAGAGTACAACCGAAAGTGCCACAAGTACTAAAATTATATTAATGAACTTAAAAAGATAAATTAATAAGCAAATCTTCGAATTGTTTGTGCACTATCATATTCATTAAGATCACAGCCTGATCACTTTGTACTGCAAGTGACTCAGCTGACGTCTTTAAGCAACATTTAGGGATTTTACAGTTATCTTCTCTTTGGTTCCCCCTACAGTTGAGGGATTTAACACCACAAAACAAACCTCTGTGGAAAAGTCATAGACGTGAATCTGCTGTCATGTCGATCAGGTAGCAAAGATTAACACCCAACTGAAAGAATATCTGGGATCAGAGATGACTGCCAGCATCGGATACTGCTACAGACGTTTAAGCATAAGTTAATGTTTTTTTCTCTTCTGTTCCTCTTCCTGGAGACTCCAACAACTTTTCCAGCTAACTTTTTTTAGCAGAGATTCCTTTTGTTCCTTCAGTTCAAGTTGTTAACCTGGAGGTGGATGAACAGTCCACTCTTATACCACATTGTCTTGATGCCTATTCTTCAAAGTAAGAAGGGAATGATTATTTTAAAACACCGTCCTTCCACTTTGTGCTGATCATCAATGAACATATAAACATGATAATTCTGCAAGCTTCATTTCACCATTTTCTTCATGTTGTCTCTTTACATAACGCAGCCACTGATCAGGAATTCATGAGAATTTTCTGGCAAGTGATGAAAGTTTCTCCTTAAACAACAGGAATATCTGATGAGAGTGAAGACACCCACAGCTGAACTACGGGATGTGTCAACGACAGCATGAGAATAAAAACAAAGGTTGGTTCATAGATTGGCTTGGTGGAAAAAGAGATGCCTGTAAAATATTGTTTGGCTTTGGTGTTAGTTTTTAAAGAAATATCACCCTTCCACCAGATATCATTTCCCACAAGGGGCTGAGTTACACAATACTGTGTTATGTCTAGGAGGTCATGGATATGAAATTATTAATTTCATATTCCATCCACTTTTGACAGTGGATTATTAAATGTACGTCAGTGATTACATTTTTACTGATTGAAAGTTAAATACATGCCTTGTATAAACTTGGGAATGTCTAAAAAATGCCATCTTTATCAACAAAATGATATTGTGTGTTTAATATAAATGTGATTTGGTTATTTGCTAATTTTATATACTGTGTTATTTGCACTTTTTCATATAAAAGATGTAGATGTTACATCTGAGTGTTAAATGTTACATATTTGAAAGTGTAAAATATCTGTAGGATGAGCAAATAATAGAACTCCCAACAACATAATTTGGTGATATAGTTTCTAGGAAACCAACAAGAAAGGCTGTTGGAATGTTTTTTCTGTACATAATTTAAATCTATTTGTCCAAGTTGACTCAAATTCATGAGCACTGTCTGTGGATTATAAATTTCACACGTGGTGGAAGACTACCTTTAACTTTAGATTCTCCAGTTTCAGGATAAACCACTTATGTCACTGATGTTTACTCCTGATGTTCAATGGGTGGTAGTCCAGGAGAATTGTGGGAAGTATCATTCTTCTTCTCCTGCTGTTTGAGATCAAAACAAACGTGAGGAAGTCTTCGAAGCATAGCAAACCACTGGATGCCTTATTTTTCTTTTAAACGTGATTTGAAAAGATTTTCAGATCTCAATGATAGCTCGTTTTTGACCTACAGAAAGCAGCTGTTTTATTTGTTGATTGGTTTATCTGTGTAAATCCACTGGCCTTCTACAGCAAAGGCTGTGACGCCTTTCATTGTGATGTAATGGGGTTTTCACCGTGTTAAGCCTGCTTGTGTAACACAAGCTCACCTGGAGAGAAAAGGGCTGACCAGTCAGATCAGATTTCTGGGAAGATACATCCCGTCTCAATCAGTACTTGAGAGCAGTAGCTTTATCTGTGTTGCCTCTATTCATGTCGAGAGCTCAAAACTTCGATTTCCTGACTTTTCCCAATTATTTATGAGCTTGGCACAAGCAGGCTTAACACGGCTATCCCACAGTTTCTGTTAAAACACACCTGTCTACCTAAATATACCAAATTCTGCTCACCGTGGTGGAGAGAAGACATCAGGACAAAAATTAGCTTCATATCATTAAGGCACAACACTGTTTAACAGAGGTGTTGAAGGGACTGGGTGGACAAGGCCAAACATGAGTGAGCTATAAAAGATACTTTAATCTACCTGATGAAATCTGGGGGGTTAATTGATATTCCTTTAGACCTGAGGCCCTGATTGTCTTCCAGAAAAGGAGCTGAAGTATCTCAAGGTAATGTTCAGAATGGGAGAAAAAGCTCACAGATCAGCGACAGGATGTGTGAAGTGCTCTCAGTGTTGGGGTCACTGTGCTGTGCTTAGACGGTGTAAAAGAAGCTGAATAAAGCAGCAAAGGGTTCACCTTCCATGTTGATCAAAGAGTCCCCTCTCCCCTTTGGTGAACAACCTTGGGTAACAAGTAAATGAAATGAATTGTCAAAGACTCAAAAGGATACCAGAGCTTCTTCGAAATGGAGAGATTTAGATATTTTTATAAGGATGCCAGTCCACTAGTTTCCTTTTGACATTTGCTTGCTGTGGGCCTTATTCACATTATCCCTTTAAATCATATAATTTTATCATCTTGTAGTGCAGACCAACTACAACAACACATATCCTGTGTCTAAACTCTGATAGAGCCTCAGGTCTTAAAGACATAATGAAACAAGATATTGTGAGAACATTGTAGCAAGGCTGAATGAAAGTCTAACCAATAACGATAGAAAGCACATCAGGGCTTCTTGGAACAATTCTACGTCCTCTTCTCATGCACAGGCTGCTCCCTGTCCCTGCATTTTATAGAACAGAAGTGCACTGTGCTCGCCCGTAGCTGGAAGGTGAAGGTGTTTGAAAGTGGCATTGGCCGTGTGAATGGAAATAGATTATTTTCCAAAGTGCAACGCTTCCTTTCATAAAGCGCTGCGTCTCTTGCTTTATGTGAGTTCATCTTCTCCACTTGAGGTGTCATCGTGACGTTACCCAGTGAGTCAGGTCCTCATAATGAAGTTTCCACACCGGGAGGCATGTGCACCTTCAAAGACAGGAGGCGCAGGCAAAGCGATCGACTGGGTCAAATAGATTTCACACACAGCCTTTTTTGAAAGGATGTGGCTCTTAGTGCTAAGATGGGAATAATTAGGACTGACCTTTGAGGGATTAGGACCAGGGGCTGACACATGTCTGTGATAAACAGCTGCTCTTGCAATCACCTTTGAACAACCTAAACACCAAGATCTACTTTTCATATAGAAATATACTAATAATTGCCTTTTTGGTACATTTGAAGGCTTTTGAGAGTCCTTTCCAAACCAAGATTTTCACAAAATAGAATGAGAATTTACTTCAAACAACCAATTTCATTATCTTGTCTACAACATTGATTAGGAGCTTTGTGAGTGGTCACGCCCCTCATCAAGGAGGAGTAGGTGACGCCTCACCTCAATCACTCTGAAAGGCCTTGAGACTTTGTGCTCTTTACTACGTGCGTCTATAAAAAGAGCTTTCCTCCTCAACGAAATCAACAGCAGACCCATTTCCTACTGAGCATTTCATTACCAAGTGGAGAGAGCGCAGGAGAGGAGAGGGATCGTAGCTGCGTGTGGCCAGATCTGTGGACAAAAGCTGGGAGAAAAACGACGGGAGAAACATTGGAATGAGGTAAAATAGTTTTCTTATCCACAACCGGCTTGTTTAGAATGAGTAAAAATTGTGTTGGATGTTTTGCAGCTTTTGTTTTGCAGACTTGATTCACTGATCCACCCCACACACTCAAGACTTTCTCTTATTGTATGTTCAGCTTTGCTTGCTTTGTAAAGTTTTTTCTTGTCTCATTTGAATTGTTTGACAGTGTGGATAGAACAGGGAATGTATCTTTGAAAATCTTCATCATCATACCAAAATTCGGTGCCTTTTAGCAGCTGCTCCAAAGCTTCTTTTATCACTGCATATCTGTTCGAAGCTCAGCTGAGTGAGTCATACTGTAGGAAGAGATGAGCCTCTGCCAGAGTAACAAAGACAATGGCCCACCAAGGAGTCAGTTCTTAGAACAATGGAGGAGGGAGAAGGAAACAAGGAGATGCAATTTCTCAACAAAGAAAGGGATATTAACTCATCCCCTTGATGAACGTTGCATCCACCCACAATGAAGATTTGGGGGGGGGAAACACGGTGAGAGCTTTCAAATGTTCGTATCAGTAAAAATAATTGGACAACTAGCAGTGATTCAGAATTAACAAAAAACTAATTAATTTCAGAGTGGGTCTGAAATTCCAATCCCTGTGGGGGAGAACAAGTAGGTGGGGGAAGATTCCAACTCATATTGCAACGAAGAGATGAGATTGTGAACAACCCAAGAGCTCCAACTCAGACTCTGCAGGTCTCAGTTTGTATTAGAATATTATAGAAGATGTTTGTTTTTTTTTAAAGTATGGCTTCTTTGAAATGCTTGCCAAGAAAAAGCCTCTTCTCTCTGAAAAATAACAAACTGATACGGACACCTTGCAGTCATTCAGTCTGTGAACTCTGTTTCAAATAAGAATATCTGTTTCCAACAACAGTTAGATAAGAAGACTGATTTTGAAAGACAAGTTAAGTCACTTCAGACTGGCCACTCTGGCATGAAATGCATGTGTGCAATAGAGGGAGGAGAGAAACCTGTGAGCACAGAGGTTTGCTCACTGATAAAAAGGTAGTAAAAAAAGATTAACAAAGAAATTTGGAGGCTGGAAACAACATGTCCACCACACATCATGATTATCTTACTTACTTGTCAAACACATGCATTTTGAAGAGCTGCTTCAAAATGTGACCGGAACCATTTAGCGGGACTAACAGAAGAAAGCAGTGTCGGAAATTAGTATCCTACAGGTTTACAGGCAAAGGTGCTTAAATTTAACACCAAACATTCTTTTTCATTCATAGAAGTGAGTTGTAAAGAGGGAATCTTACTGATGTAATCTAAGAAATAGCTCATTCTCACTCCAGAACTAAACATACAGACAAAAAGTCACGGGATAAGTTGTATAACTTGTTTGCGCTGCTTGTGTTAGGCTCATCTTTTTCAGCATTATGCCCTTAATTAAGTTTAAGCTGGTGAGCTGGTGCATTAGCTCTTAAGGTATATTAAGTTTCGATTTAAGATTAGCAAATTGTGATGGTTATTTACAACTTGACTAATTAAGAAAAAGATACTGGAAATACAGTAGGAACAAAAACATTAAATTAATTTCAAAATCAGTTTGGCCAAAAGGTTTGAGGCTTCTAGTAGTCATTAGAACAACTGAAAGTGGAGTGTGAAAATGTGGCCAAAAAACCCATTTCAGTCTCAATCAAGATGCTTTTTTTTAAAAACCCAAAGCAAATTTGTTATTTACTAAACCCAACTATAAAGTTGCATAAGTGTTTTTTTTTAATCTTTTATGAACTCCATCACATTACTGCAGAGCCATTATGTCCATGATGACAGAACATTTTTTATCAAAGTGTGTGAATGAGGGTGTCTCATGGTAATTTTTTATTACAAAGCTTGTAGAAAACTGTGAGTGCATCTTTCCCATAGACTTCATGCAATCCAAACATCCTGAAAAATAACGGGTAATAACAGAATAATTATCCCCCTCTGTAACAAAGTATGAGCACAGACCAAATTTCCTTTTTAAGTTCCAGCTTGATGCTGGTAGTTGTCCCACAAATCCTTGGTGCTGTGCGCCTGCTTTGGAGACAAAAGACGGTTTTCATAAAGCTCTGTCACACTCTTGCTTTTATTGACCACTTTCAGATGAGATAGATGATCTGCTGATGAACATGACCATCTGGTACAATACATGTAATGTTGGCTGAAAGTGGAATGATGACCGCCAGTATGTGAGCTAAATAATTATTCATTCATGACACATAGCTGCAAATCCTCCAAAGCCGCCGTCTCAGAAGACAGTAGGGAAACAAATCTACTTATATAAGAAAGAACAGCGTTACGTAGGAGCAATGATGAAGAAACACCAACAGTATCTTTTTGAATAACAGATTCCTCTAATTTAGGGGTGAGCAAGTGAATGTTGTATTCTGTCGGGACTGAAGCCTTTTCAGTCAGAGGAGGAGAAATCTTTCAACAGCTCAAATCCTAACGTAAGTTTGTGTCCCCTTCACCAGGCTGAAGATGATGTGTCACTTGCGTTTTTTCGTGGCTTTGATGGCATCCATGTGCATCCCTTGTTTTGGGTCGTGGTGCTTGGACAGCTCCATTTGCAACAACTTGACCAGTGAGGACAGAATACTGGTAAGTCCCTCAGAGGTCTGCTGTCACTTTTCATTTCTTTTCCCTGTTATCTTTTAACCAGAATAGAGCTATTTTGTGTGTGCGTGCGTGTGTGTGTGTCATAGGATTCACAAAAAAATACACATGATCGGATTATGGTTAATTCAGTAATGACAATGTTGTTTCAGTTGTCTCAGTTGTGACTGAATGGTCAGAGAGTAAAGTCTTTCACAGTGGTTCAGACCTCTATTGAATCTGTACTAAAAGATTGTGTTTGACTGTTTGAAATGAATGAAAAAGATGATTAACTTTTAGTTTAACGAGTCGTGATGTTGCTGATGTTTTGGTTCGATTCTTTGTCATTTGGATTTGACTTTTTCAAAGATCGGAGAGTACTGATGTCAGAATCTCCTGCTTTTCTTCTCTGTTGGGAAAAAATTCTAACTCTCCCCTCTTTTTAAGTAATGTAAGCTGAGGGGCTATTGGCATGATTAGAATCATTTGTGGAATAATCTGCGACGAGGCGACACAGTGAAAATGAATGCGTTGGATGTTTGTGTTTCTAATGCTGCTGCTCTGTGGTTTGCTTTGCATGCAGGACTGCGTTCACTACTGCATGTCTGTGATCCAGACTGAAATCCCAGACCTTGGAGCATCAACCCTGCAGGTTGATGACGATGACGACGACCTCTTACTCAACGCCGTTCTGGCTTCTGAAGACAAGCTCTCAGACCCGTCAGAGTCAGGTGTGAGAGCCCACGACGAGCAGCGCCGCTCTTATTCCATGGAGCATTTCCGCTGGGGGAAGCCCTCCGGACGCAAACGTAGGCCCGTTAAAGTCTTTGCCTCTTCTCTGGAGGGAGGGGGCTCTTCGGAGATCAGCTTTCCCTTCCGAGCTCGTAGGCACCTGAGCAGCGGTGGCAAGGATGGAGCGCAGGTGGGTGTCAGAAAGAGAAATCTTCAAAATGAGGGTTCGCCCGTGTCTCGAGTCAGCCCGAGGGCCCATGCTCCAGTCAACCAGCAGGAGAGAAAAGAAGGGACCTACCGGATGAGTCACTTCAGATGGGGCAGCCCACCTGCATCCAAACGAAATGGCAGCCTCATCAAGCCGAGGGAGGAGAAACCTCAGGGGCAGCTGGCAAAGTTCTTCAGAAACATTTTAGTGAAAGACATGCACAAGATAATGGGATGAGTGCGTCACCGATCCGATGCCAATGACTTCAAAGAGCACCTGCATGTTAGTTCAGACTCGTCTAAATGTAAATTAAAGGATCATGTTGCCATCTTTAGCATCTTGCTCAATGTGTTTTTTTTCTAGTCAAATGTTTCAATAACCTTGAAGTGGAAAAATAAATAAATAAAAAAGCTGTTTCTATATATAAAATAAAAAAACTGAAGCACACAATGACTGCCTGAAATTCCCTTTCCATGAGTTCATTTTTTATTGTAGGAAAAAGAGCATTTTGATCTTGTGTCTGGAATCTGCCTGATTTTTGACAAATTGTAAACACTTTTTGTAAACAATATATATTAAATGTTGTGGCTGCTGCAAACAACCGAGGAAATACTTTTTTCTAGTATGATACGTTTTCCTGTGTCTTTTGACAGTAAGAGTTTGAGATATACCTAGAGAAGGGCTTGAGGAAACCTTTCCAAAATAATTTGGGAACCATGAAAGTTTCTTTTCAAGTCTGCAGCACATTTCCAGAACTTGTCTCGTTTCTCTATTGTTTGCCTAAAATGTCTGTAAGCAGGAAAACCTTTCACCTCTCAAATGGCATCAGACTGGTTTTGAATTTCAGGCATCTGAGCTCTTGTGATTTTAGTAAAATTACCATTACGAGTAATGTTTGGCATGATCATTTGAAGTGCCAGTGGTGGGAATCTGTTGTTCTCTAACCCGCTGAGCTATGTTTTATGGGCAGTTCAGAGCAGACAGGAATGCAATGACTTTTATTCTGTGAAGAAACTTTCCTCTTCACGTTCACCAACTTTGACTGTTTAGCTGCCTAATCACATGGGATGAGATCCAATTCAGTAATTGTCTTTCAGGCTAACAACTGAATGAGCATCCACCACGGGGGGCTATTTCAGAGATTTTTGCCAGGGCTTTTATGTTAGAAATGTAAAAAAAACATTTCAGTATCACCTGTCTGCTACTTCTTTACATTCCATTGCAGGCCATTTTGCCCTCATTCACTGATTATAATGAGTTAGAAGGTGTTGCGTTTGACAACAGCTCAGGTATCAATGCATGGAACTGAGTCAAAACTTTAAAGAGATATTCACTGGTTTTAGGGGGAAATTCCCGCACAACTTCACAGTAAATGTCCCTATAGGATCCTGGAAACCACATAAACAGAATATACAACTGCTTCTCTTAAGTATGCATCATCTCAGACAGATGACATCTACTGGATATATTTTTTCATTTTGTTACCCAAATTTCACACAGTTGGGAGGAATCTATGTTGAATGAGAGTTTTCCATGAAACATATCGGTCACACTGTTATGGGATGTGCAAAAATTTCAACAATTAAAATGTGATGTCAATTAGGCTTCTGTGTTAAAAAAAGATGGATTTACTCCAATTAAGTGCAAAGTAATAAAAAGTATTTGGAGTTATATAATCAACAGTACAGTCAGAAGCCAAACAAAGAAGCAGAGCTTTCATAGAGAACAGCAGTCAGGAGTTGAAGACGTCTGCGGGGCCGATCAGATGACCTGCACATCAGCAGAAAACAAACAATCCAAGCATTGATCAGGGTGGCGTAACACATCAAACGCATCCCACGACGGGCAAACAAACAGCGCACTGAACACAGCAGCTGACTGAACAATCAAGGTTTAAATCTTTTCCTAGTAAACTTTTTTTTAGTCTCCCGCACATTCTAACCTGATGATTTCCCCAGATTCTCTCAGCAAAATAACACTTTGTTTTTACACTGGATTTGACACGCATTGTGAGCAAAAAAACAATCAGAGACACTTCTTTTACGGTTCAAGATACATTTATTGTACAACACGGCAACATCACTAGCATGCAAAGTCAGCTATGACACGCATAAGGCATTTTCTCCATGTAAAAGCTGCCTTCGTCACTAGATAATCCAGTTTTTAAAGTGCAAAGTCCACAGAATGAATAGATTTGACCTACAGCACTACACCGTAAACAGATCTACTAAACAGACATGTGATCGCAGAAAGTAAAGTTGGATTTACATCGGTTAATATTACAATACACAATGCAATGACTACACGCAGACTGATAGATTTACACTTCTGAGTTGAAGATGCTGAAAAGACAATTTTACAATGTGTCACCGAAGGGTTAAGACAGCTGCGTGTTGCTCTTCAATAGCTTGTTCTTCCCCAACATGTTTGAAAGAGTCACCGAACAAAAGTAAAACACGTCTGAAGAGTTTGGTCTCAGGTTATGATGATAAAGACACATCTGTGTAAGTGCTCACACAAAAACATGAACGCATACAGAATGAAAAAGAGTTCAGATGAAGAGTTCATATGTTCTACGTTATGCGAGGACATGAACACATACACTTTAGACTAAACAAAATGGTAAACCAACACAGTCAGCAGGACTTCAAGACGTAACAATCAGGGACAAACCCGACACCACCGGCTAAATCAAACAAGATGGCTGCTCGATGCAGCTCAGTCAAAGCGCAGGGGGAGGGGTGGTGCCTTTAAATGTCACAAAACTGAACCACCACAGCACCACAGTGAGAGGAGGCACAATTTAAAAAGCACAAAACAATCTGCTACCTACAGCGGGACCGTGTTGGCCATGCTAGTGCCCAATTATTGCCATTATACTCTGTTTTTGTACCTGTGTGTGCGCAAACATGCACACTGAATGGCTTCCACGGGTCTGGATGAGACGGGTGCTCTGCAGGGAAGCCGCATGAAAGCCTTTCGTGCAGGTTTTCGGACGTAATGGAAACAATGCCGGTCAGTTTCTGTCGCTGATAAAGGAAGAGAAAAGGATTTTCTAACGTTCTAACTTTCCTAAAAGACGAGTTCTTCAATACATCACGGCCTCAAGATGATGCATTTTTCTGCTGTGGATTGTTGGGATCTATTCAGTTAGATTTAATCAACTAGTGTCTGGATCTAGATTTCTACCTGAACTAGCACACAACCAGTGCAGTGGCCGTTTAAAATCTGAATTTACAGTATATATATATACACACACACACACACTCACAAAATACATCCCACACTCTGTACATCATCTTAAAGATTTATACATTTCTCTGTATATACACATATATATGGGAAGAAAAAAACTATTCTTCTAGTGTTTGGTGTGGTAAACATTGCAGTAAACACTTTGGGAGTTTGTGTGGTCATGACTGGCACAGTGTGGGTGCGTGTGTCTCCAAGGATGCTTGAATTGATGGTTATCGTTTAGTTAAAAGCAACTAAGACAGAAATAATAAATACGAGTTAGGAAACAAATGCCAAAGATAAAACAAAAAGCACTTCTGGCTAGGCAAAACAAAACCGAGTCGTCTTAAATCTTTCAATCCATCAAACATACGCACAAAAAAATATTTTGTGAATTAAAATGCCTATTTCTCATACACTCTGCTCATCAAATCTATAAAAACAAATATAAAATGCCAAAAATTTGCAAGACTGATCAAACTAATGCTGCGATCAAAGGTAGTATGGCACCCTGTGTGGGACAAACTGACGAGCAAAAGAAGGTCCAGCAAATGCAGTGCCAATAAAAAAAATCCAGAAAATCAAAAACCCAATCAGAATTACACAGTTCTTGGCAAATCAACCCGTGGAGTCTCCACACACATCTAATTGTGTTTAATTCCAGTTTGCTGACTGACGATTTATTGACATTAGTCAGCTTCTTTTGATCCCAGTCAAGGGGTAAAAGAAAATCTTAGACAGCCAACCGGCCAACTTAATCAAGAATTGCTTTGCTCTTTAGCTGTAAATCACTGTGTTCCACTTGCACTGTGGCTTTTTCGGTCAAGATGATTTTACAGTGAGAAATGGTCCCCCTCCCCAACCTTCCCAAATCCTTTCCCCGTCCAGTCAGATATCTCACACTGCTGGACTCCTTGTGGGTTAATACACGCAAAGGTCGGGAAACTTCATCTCGTAAATGGGAACAGATCGGCTCTGGCTTTGGCCGTAACCTGAAGAAATGGTTCCAGACGGGCTGGGGGGGGGTCTGGACAGAAGGAGGAACCAAAGAAAACAGTAGTCATCACCATGATTCAACGATCATCGTGCACATCATGCTGTTAGTCAGGACTGCAGCCATCAGTGTCACAACTGACCTTTTGAAAAACACAATCTCACCGTCTCAAAGCTCTGTCACCTACCTGATTGTTATCTCAAAGATTTGATTTAGTTTGCTCTGCAGCTGCGTGGCCTGAAAAGGACAATAATGTTCATGTTAGACCAGTTACAAGCTGAGAGAAACAAATAAGTTATTTTAAAACTCATTTCACTGTACCCTGGCACCGCAGTGGGCAGCTATCTCCTCAAAGGGAGCCTTTTGGAACTTCTCCACCACTTGTCTCCTCCTCTCCCTCTCCTGCTCCTCCATACCCACGCTGTCCACTAGATGGCGACAGAAACAGCACAATGCACTTTCTGCAGCACTGATGGAGAAGCAGTGTGTGGTTTGTGCTGCTAATGGTTTGAGGTTACAGTGAATTTCCAAACAGGATGAAGCAAAACCTGCTCTTTTAATACTGCTTTCATGCATTTGCCCAAAATGGATGCAATAGCTTATCAGAGAACAAAAATTTAAGCTTAAGGGAAAGCAAGCTCAACCTATAGCCACAGAGGTAGAAAAACAAAAACATAAGAGGCATACCAATGGCATTTTTCAGAGTTTCAAAGGTAATCTCCTCTGCTGGTGTCCTCTGCAAGACAAAATGAGCACAAAATCACATGACCTGGTGATGAACACGAGGACATCTGTCCTGAGATGAGTCGAGCATTTACCTCCTCTTTCTCTGGACTGTTTCGAGACTCAACCTCCACCTGAAGAGAGATGGTCTCCCCAATGCTCTTTCTCTTGGATAGCCGGTCCTCATCTGAACATAGAGTGCAAATACATCACTTGTATTCATTTACAAAAAGAATGGAACAACAATGGCATTTCTTTTTAAACGTTACACTTCTGCTCAGACACTTTGGGCTCCATACCAGTATACTGTGGGACATAGGGCGTAGCCAGCCTCTCTGTGTTATAACCACTACCCCCAAGAACCTCAGTGATCTTTGACTGGAGGAACAGAACACCCCCTTCCACTTTGTCCACTGAAGACGGCAGTCTAGGAAAAAAAAATGAGAACGCTTAAGGTTTAGCACTAGCATGCTGAGAGGAAAACAAGGTTGTTTTGAAAGTAGCCGGTACACACTTGGGATTCTCAATGAAGACATCCTCAGGCAAAAGGTAAGGGGTTTCTTTCTGTCTCAGCTCAATTACCTGTTGGGTAGAGGGGGGGAAAAAGCTCTTTATTAACACTTGGCACACAAATGACACATTCTCATGAAGGCGTCCGGAGCCCACACCTCATGTATGTGCTGGCAGAAGGCTGGGACAGTAGTGAGCTGGCAGATGAGGTTGAGGTAGGCCGCTGCGAGGGCATGAACAGCACAGCGGTTATACATCGGCAGAGGCTCGTCTGTGGACAGAGCCAGGTCCTGCACAGGATACAAAGAAGTTTCAGAAACAGGACTGGGGTAGTTCTACCGGCTGACCTACGGACATTCCTTCTGCATTCATTGGTTCTCAGTTCTTTCCTTCCTCTTTAAATTGAATCATACGGTGGTTTAAGACTGCATGCATGTGCTTATCTACCTGCAGGGCAAGTGCCAGGCGAATGAGGTCCACCACCACCTCTTCGTTAGCCAGCTCCACACTCAGAAGGCCTAACAGGGCAAAGAGGGTCTCGTAGTGCTGCGGGCCGCTGCTCTCTTCCTTACAGCCCAGGTAAATGTGTCGGTACAGATGCTGGCCGTGCTGTGCAAGAAAACCATCAGAAGAATCACGAGAAGCAGTTCTCCCAATGTGTCTTTAGCATCTTTGAATATCTGGCTACATTTTGTTCATAACTTAGTTTGTGTTGTCAAGAATTCTGTGATAAAATGATCCAATCTGACAAAAGTATGATATGTGCTGCTGGATTGTTAAGGTGTACCTTCTTCATGAATAAATTGTCCTGTCTGGAGCACTTGTCAACTTTCAGCTTCAGCACAGAGATGTCCGAGATGATGCTAAACAGGAATGAGGCCACAGACAAAGTAAGAGGTCAGCTCTGGGCCTCTAAAACGCCGACCGGTCCATGTTCCTGTACGTGCCATTACACACCATATTTTAGAAAATTTCGGCCTGTTATCGTGTCTGTCGATAAGGCTGAGAAGGATTTGAAGAACAAGCAGCCGGATTTCTGGATCCTCAGTTAGAGAGAATGAGAGCAGTGGCTCCAAGAAAGAGCTGGGCAGTGCTGTGAGCATGTTTGTAGTTTGGAAGCCTGCAGTCACCTGAGAAATTGATGGGAAAAACATAATAGATTTCACAGAAAATCCCCTTGAACACATATACATACACAAAACTTTGACCATTTCTTGATTCTGACTGAGATGAAACTCTACCTGAACCACGGACTTGAGTAGCATAACCTGAATCATCCTCGTACCCTCAGGCCTGGGAATGGAAATGGCAGGTTAAGATTCATATGGACCCTTAAACGAACAAACTCAGCCCTGAAAACATTTGTTTACAAAGAACTGTGCCACGACCTGTTGTGGCCTCAGAAAATATTACACTAATGGATACTAAGTGCATGCTGTGAAATTTGTGAGTCATTTACCCAGAGCCGGTGGAGGGCAGAGTGAGATGTACTCCAGGGACTGGGATCTTGCCCATGATGAAGAGCATTACCTCTGATCTCTGGTAGGTGGGTAAAGTGTTGGCAAATGAACCTGAGAAAAAACGGAAAAAAAAAAACAAGACATATCAAACAGAACGATGTAAAAAACAAAATAATAAAAACAAAACCTCCTTCATGGATCAAAAAACCATCCTGGATCACAAGAAACGGAGCCCCCAGACTCACCGATGGTCCTGATCACAGCCTCCTGCAGCTGCCTCTCTTCGTGTGCTTTGATGATCTTGGTGCCGATGTTGGTGCTGCCGTCGTACGAGCCCGTCAGCTCGTAGTCCACACTCAGACGAAGCTGCCTCAGCAGCGTGTTGAACACCTCCAAAACCGTGGGACCTGCACACACAGGGAAAGCAATGAAAGGTGAAAGCCATCTGATGCCCGAGCCCGTTCTCCACTGGCCAGACGGTGCATCGCACGTGTGCAACTGACCTACGGAGCCACTGGCTGCGATGGCTGCCGCCTCCAGCAGAACCTCCACAATCCCAGCTCGCACCGTCGCCGAGCTCTTGCTGTTAGCGTCCAGGTGACCCAGAAGTTGTTGAATCACCAAGTGAGAGTGTTGAGACTGGGGGTGGGGACAAGTTAAGTTAAAGCCAACTTTCGACTGAGGAGCAAATAAAAAGTCAAGTTTTTGTGAGGTGTCGCACTGGTTTTCTAAGTAAATTCAAGAAGTAAATCTGTGCAAACGTTCCCTTCACGTGGAGCTGGAATGGCATGAAACAAAGTGAGAGGGAGAAAGGGATAGATGAAAGGGTCATGGACCCATCTCTCACCTGGATAGAGTACATGATGATTTTGAAACAGCGCACAGCAAAGGTCTTTCCTTCCCATAGAGAGTGGTTATCCAAGTGCCTGTGGAAAGGCAGACAGGAGGAAGCAGAGGGTATTATTACATAGGGCCAGGACAGCAGAAGAAAAGCCAGACACAACTTTTCGAGAGGCCCAACAGTGAGGTACACACAGGAGAAAGGAAAACTCACATGCTAAAAAAGGGAGCTAAACACAGACAAATTCACTTCATTGTGATTTGCAGTGGTAACAGGAAATAATATCGAGCCCAGTGTGATGTAGCTTGAAATGTCATAAACGGTAATAGAAACAGCAGAGAGAGTTAATACTGGTATCAGTATCACTACATCCTGCCGCCATGATCTAAGTAGCTGCTAGGCTGAGTGCTGCACTACCAATATACATATACATGAATGAATCAAAAAGCTTCAGGAGAGATATAAACTTCAGATTTCATATGCTCCTCCACAAGTGAACTGCAAATTCCACAAAGACCTATAAGGTACCTGACATTTCTAATCGTTTGTTTTTAAGATTTACAGCCTTCATGTACAGCTTAATTCAAAGACGAACACAAAACCCAACATGGACGCTCTGTAAGAAACCTAAAAGAATAACAAACTGTTCTAGAGGAACAAAACCCAGATGAACACGTGAAGACAAGATAAAAAGGCACATGCAGAGAATTGATAAGGCGAGCAGGACACTGCATTCTGGAGAAAGAGGAAGAGCGGGGTAACTGAATTAGGGATGCTAAAGGGGACAGAGAAAGATGGAGACAGATAAACAAGAGAGAAATATTCAATTCAAAGAGAGATTTTTTTAACGTAAAAAAAACCCCAACAAAAAACAAAAAAAAAGGATATCTCAGTGGCACATCCACTTCGGAAAAGGAGCATGTTGAACTGGCAAAGCTCAGCAGCACAGCAACAAAAAATATCTCTGTTCCATCTTCAAACACCCCCCAACACCTTATCAAGAACAGCTGACAAACCTTGCAATGCCCTTGCCATGCCCCAAAGGGCCCATCAGCGCACACAAACGAAAGCTGCGACAGAGTCCTGAGACCTAGTCCTCTTTCACGCCAAGTCGATATGAAAGAAAAACAACCTGCAGCGGTATGAGGTGCACATCAGCATTGGTGGGCAGAATGAGAATGATCGGAATTAGAATTGGCGAGGCTTTCTCACATCAGGACTGGCGTGACAGCGTTCTTGATGTTGCCGTAGGCAGCCCGGCCCAGCAGCTCTCGGAAGCAGCGCTCCGTCAGCTCCACCGGGCTTTCCTTCTCCTTGTCCGACGCCTGCAGCGGAGACGGCGAGCGACTGGACGGGAGCAAAGCAGGTGAGGAGGCACCAAAAGAGGAAGAGGAGGGAAAAGGGCAGAGAGGACGAGAGGGGAGGGAAGGGGTGGGAGGAGAGCGGGAGAAGACACACAAGAGCCGAGGGTTACGGATCGGATTTATTCGCAAACATTTGCACAAAACCTCGGTCTGTAACACAAACACTGGGGGTAGTTGTATTGGGGCGGCTCTTATAGCTGAGGGCACTTCTCCCTCTGCAGCTTGTCTGCAGTGGAAGGAGCCGCTGAGACTGTGGCGTATCACACGTTTGTTTTGAGCGTGGGGGACGCGCCTGTGTCCGAGTCTGCAGATGTGCATGTGGGTTTGTCCTCATGCATAGTTAAGAACACCCACTACCCCGGTTACTTGCTCACGACTAGCCTCCGGTAGCTCACCGATGATGACATTATTTATTAAGAGCTTAACTCTTTCATCTTGTCTGCTGCTGCTGCTGCTGTGAAGCAGGAAATGAGAAATCCTGCCTCTCAGTGGTTCCACAAAAAAAAAAAAAAACCTGACAAATGATCTTCACAAAAGACATCCAGCTGAAAAGAGGGATCAGATGCAGACGCCTAGTTCCCAGCATCTATGCTAATTATTTTCAGGGCTAGATACCAGCTAAACAAACTCTAATCAACTTAGACATTTTTCTAGAAGAAGGGGCTCTGCTCACGCGGTCACAGCTGTAAGGGCAAGATCTCTCAGGACACATTCTGGTCCAATGGCTGAACTGTTCTGTTTTAAGTATTCAAAGTAATGCAAGGGGGGTATAATTCTTAGAGAGCCTCGAGGCGCTCCTCTTGCATTTATTTGTGATGTGATTATAAACGAAAAAGCAGTGAACGCAGCAGCAGGGATTCGTTCATTTAGTCTTGCAAGACCTGGCATTTTCAGAGTCCAGTCTGGCACATCTTACCATGAAAACTGGCCAGCAATGCTGCGTGAATATAACACAGGCAGCAAAACCGTTCCTGCGAGTGCAGGATTTCCTCCATGACTCTGTACTAATTGGCTGAGAGCCTAAAAGCTGCACTTTGTCTCAATCCAACGTCAAAAAATCCATAGCAGGTTTGAACGGATGCAAGGAGCTCTCCACTTGTGATCCTTTTTTTTCCTGTACAGAACTCAACATAATCATGTGGGTTCTTGTTCTTTAATTCTAAAATACCAGAGATTCTGCAAAAGGCTTCTGTTAATAACTTTCCACAAAAGTTAATCTGAACTTTTTGATCTTTAAATAAGGTGGATCATGTGCTCAGGGATTAAAGCCGAGAAGAATGCGCCGCTGTGAGCTAATTACATTCCATACTGCTGTCAGTAATGACCAGCTAGACTCAGCATGAGGAGGAAATAAGGATGCTCAGCAGGGGCAGGCTTCAGAACGTAAACAGAGAGAGGGGGAGCCGAGAGGGAAATACAACTCTCTGGTGGATCGTGTCAGTAAGTCAGTCTCTGTCATTAACCTCCCCATTTCTTATACTCACTTTTCTATTACACATCTTCCAACCAATCTCTGTCTCCCCCCCTCCCCCCCAAGCTTTGCTCCCATAACCCTCAGATCTCAGCATTGACGTCAAAATGAATGTCTGTGTGTGAAGTGCAGCCAACAAAGAAAGGCTCCAAACTCTAATATTCTGGCATCCTCTTTCTCTCAGAATCTGTGGGATTTTATTTCCCTCCCACTGCACTATTTCTGCTCAGGCTTCCCCCTTTCAGGCTCCTGTCTCCTCTTATTCTACAACATTACTCCCCATGTCCTAGTTTGCTTACGATGAGGTGCTATTTGTGGGTTAATAGATACCCACGGGGAGCACAGAGCTGTCAGAGGGTTCACAAAATGTTGATGAAGGATGCCTTTCTAAACTGTCAGGACAAATTTGGTCAAACATGAGACCAGAGTATCAATGGGTTGCAGCACAATGGCTCTGGGGTGGTTTGGCCAAGCCAGGTCAGGTGAATGCGGGGCTCCCAGCTTCAACCCATGGGTCAGTCAGCACTGTTTGATGTGTTTCAACACATTTACACATGGTTTTGACAACAGAAAAGTATGACCCATGGCTCAGTTGTCCATCCAATTCTGCACTAAGCAGGGTCTCATGCAGTGCTTGGTCAAGCTGATGATTGAGGTGTAATTTCTTGGGGAAATGAATATGTAGCAGGTTTATGTTTACATACACGTAGAGGCTTCTGGGATAATATATATCTGGATACATTACACTGAATTCTATTGGTCTGTCAGTTCTTAAAACTCTTGTCTTTTCTATTCTAAAAGGAAGAAAAAGACCACGGAGGGAAAACTCACCTCTCTGTGCGCTCTCCGCTCTGCAGGTTGAAAAGCAGAGAGGGGACAATCTTGTCCATGTGCTGAGGGTCCCAGATGTTAGCCTGCAGCTCATCATTCACAGTCTTCCTCACCACACCCTGCAGACCCTTAATACCCGCCATCCGGATCCTATTGGGAGTAATTACAGAGGTACAAAAATCAAACATTCTCTATTTAGCAAAAAGTATTTTTAATTTCTTTTGTGTTATTTTTTCCATGTCACCAGTACTTTTGGAAGATGGCGCATCTATTTTCAGCCGAAACAAAGGAGATCAAATAAAAAGACCCCCTTTAAAGTCAGTCTATAAAACAACTGTCCAAAAAAAGGACTAATCTAAAAATAATAAAACAACTAAAAATACAAACACAACATTCTTTTAAGTAGTCTAAAGACAACGATATTTCGGTCTTGTGCGATCGAGTATACGTCTTACTTGGTGCGGATGTCGGGGTCTTCGTAGTTCGAATGGCACATCTCACTGAAGCGTGACACAAAGAAGTCATAACTGCGGTGGTAGGATGGTGTGTCCTCTTCTATATTAGCAAACTTTACAAACTGGCAACAGAGGAACAGTGACAAAGAGAACAGTAAATTAAGTTTTCACACACAGATTTGAAGCGCTTTAAAACCAAAATGTCTTACGATTTTAAGATGAATTTTCAGTTCACTTATCTCCCAATTAAAAGTCAAACTGTAGCTACACAACATTTTGCTCGAGCAAAAGAAATAAAAACTGAGGGGGCTCTCCCACTGGTCCAGCAAATGTCAAATGAGTAATCTGGTTGACATTCAGCTTCAAACTACACCCCGGTTAATAAATTATGAGCTGGATTTCTTTAGGATCAAGTCAGAACAGAATGTTGCCTGAAGCAGTAATTATATTATATCTAGTCAATGAGGGAGAAGCAAAAAAAAAACTTCTCATGAAATAACACTTTCAGGGACAAGAGAAAAGTTCCTGTGGGGAATTAAGATCTAAAGAAATAGCAGGTTGATTTAAATATGACAGCGTTTGGATTGGTGGTTGAATTAACTGAGTGTTTAGGCTAATTTAATGAAGTGAGCTTATTATTGGTCCTGTGAGGTGGCTAAGCTGTGGCTCACTGTCACTGCTGCTGTTCGTGCCTGGAAGCTGCCCAGTAGCCAGAAATACTGGGCAGCTTTGAGTTATTAATGTATCGGCTCTCTGTCTGCTGAAGAAGAATTTCTATTTGATTGTAAAGTGAAAATATTGTTCCTAAGGCCACAGACGTTAGCGACTGGAGGCAATTAAGGCTTATGTTCCCACAAAGCCAAAAAACGAAAAGAGATAAACTACTTGGATGGCACAGAGTTCACCAGCGAATGACCCCTCAGACACAGAAGCCATTACTATGTGTGGGAGAGTGATAGCAGGACATTATGAGTGTGAAGCTGCTTTGTCTTGTCAGTTTGTATTGATGACTGTAAAGCTTCACCCTTATAGCCTGCAGCTAATCTGATTTCCTTTATGTGTCCTTTGCTGACCCCGCTGATAGCTGCTTCTCATCTCTGACGATACTCATCAGTCTCTGCCCACCACTCGCTTGCTGAGCTCTGATCTTACTAGAATGGTAATAAAGTACTACTCTCAATGTGCACCAGGAAAGTAAATGCAACCTGTAATCTTTTTTTGATTGGATAATGCCTCTAAATCTGTTCAGATGGGTGGGATTTGATACAGCAAGAAAGCTTAGACACTAAAACACATTAGAGAACCATCAGTTTGAGTGTGCAGATATTTATAGCCATAAAGCAGGCCATCTTAGCTGGTTTCATCATTCCTGAAACAGAAATGACAAACACATCACTGACTATACTTTTTATGCTTTTTACTCTGATTACGGGACAAATTTGTCAGGGCTTCAACATATCTGACATAAAGGTAATAATTTTTCCCAAAAGCAACATTAACCTAAATTAAATTAAAAATACTCAACATGCTGCAGGATTGCTGGGTGACAATGTCAGGAAAAAGGAAAAATATCAAACAAGAGAAGTAACCCTTTAACAGATAAAAACAAGAAAAGCTCACCGAGTTGGTACCCAGGATCTGAAGATTGGGTTTGTCTGACTCCAGCAGCTTGCGCACCATCTTTAGAAAGCTCTCTACAAACAGGTTGATGCTCTGACAGTGACAGGCCATCAGCAGCTGGTCCAAAGCTTCCATTGCTATGCACACATACCTGATTAGGAACAGGAAACACAACAGAGGGAAAGCTTAAACACTGTAAGAAGAGACTGAACGGACCAACCTGTCTTTTTATCTTATCAAAGATTTTAAATTCCAATGAATTTTTTCGAAGATAAAATGATGTATTAAGACCGAACATATAAAGAACCTGAAGGGGATCTTTTTAGATCAATGACAAACTCTTTGAGAAACTCTAATCCCATCTAGCCATCCCCAATGAACCGTGTGTCTTAATTATTCTGAAATCAAATCTATTAACATGCTGAAAAACATTGATGCATTCGCACGGACAACTGAAAATGCCAACAGTGTGTTCCTCCAGCAGCTGAGGCCTACCCGTATCTGTGCCGAGCCACATCCCTGGACAGTCTCTCCGACAGGTAGGCTCCGATACGGTCCAGCTTCTCTGGAGCTGACAAGGCGTAGAAGGTCAGCTTCTCCATGTTGGCCTTGACCAGCCCATCCTTAAAGGGTGATGGTTTAATACACAATGAGAGAGGGGGGAGACAGAAACCAGAGGCTGTCAGGCTCCTTCCTACTTTGGTAAAGCAGCAGCTGTCCTGAGATAACATTTTTTGACTAAGAGTAGATTGGCAGACCCTTGACTGACATTTAAATAACTTCAGGGTAAAAGGTCAGAATTATTCATCAAATATCCCACGGACATCTACGAGCAAATTCCATAATGCGTTTACAAAACAGGGCACTTTTCACCAATCCAAAACCCCTAGAGCAGCAAACAGACCGCCAAGTTTCCCCTCCTACGTTTCCCCTTGACCTACTTCACAAAGCTAAAAACATCTGCAGTCCACTGAGAACCCATTCAGTCAAGGCCCTAAATACGCCAAAATAACCCTCCAAAAATCAGAGGGGCACCTCAACATACACCATCAGCACATCGCTAACTTTGTGTGATGGAAAGATTTTATGAAAAAGGAGTGACGAATGACTGTTTCTTCTAATCCAAAAGTTACTTTAAGAATCAGCATGGTTTCTTCTGGTTGATTTTCTACAAACATTTAAAGAATACCGCTGCTTGAAAGTGTCCTTGTGGGGACGTTTTGTTTAAAACTAAAAGACTGGCAAAGAGCAAGCCTATAATTAACCAAATAGTCACCAATCATCTGGTAGAAACACTGAATCCTATAAATACATTCCAGGGTAACAATTCTTCTAGGGTTTTCTCTTTGTCTTTGGATTTTCATTGTTCCAGCATTACTGAGGCACTCTTTTTCCCCCAGACTCAACAGAAGGTTGAAGTCAGGCTAAGAAACCTTTTCGAAGGTGTGAGAAGTACAACTGCATATTCACCTACTGAACTGGCAAAATTAATTGTGGCTCTCCCTGTAATTAAATCTGGCTCCAGATGTGTAAACGGTAAAATGAGTTAGCGTAGTGGTGCAGCAGCACACATAATGAATAGTTTCCTGTGCAACTTCAGCCTTTTATTTCCTCTCAAATTAATTGTCTTTGTGACTCATCTTTGTCAAATCTCAGTTAATCATTGGAACTGCAAGCGAAACTGAAATCTGTGGGTCCACAGCAGCAGCTCTGAGCAGGGCAGTTTACCACTGCAATCTGAGGCAGTTTATCGTTTTCACACACAGCCCAGCACCACCTTGGAAACTGTCAAAAATGTTTTAATGCTATATAAAATTGCGCGATGGACATGGCCAAAGCACATCAACCTCTCACATAATACGCAGGCTTCAGAGAAGAGAATGCCACCAGTCTCACCTCCGGATCCTCTGGGAAGATGTTGTCCACCAGTCTCTTGTATCGAGGCCTGAGAGCCCCGCAACAGCCACAAACCCCTGACGAAGAGGAGAGAGAACAGCAGAAAAACAAGGACAGACAAAAATGGTCAGTAAGACATGTCCAGTATAATTGAGAAATCTAACAATGTTAAAAAAGATATAAAAAATAAATAAGCAACTGCTTCTTTCTCCATCACTTTTCTGTAATTAGACTGACACTGTTCCAACGAGAGATCAGTGTCACGTGCATTTTTGTACATCCATCATAGATAAAAATCCATCCAGAAAGTAAACTCATCAGGGCACAGAAACAGGAACACGATGTTTGGGTTTTACCTCCTGAATTACTGTTTCTACTATACCAGTGTATACTCTAGCACATGAAAACCTGAGAAAATAAGGATGTGGACAGAATGTAGTTCGATCAATTAGAGACAACAGTTTCCCACCAGAAAGCCAGTACTAAAAGCAAATGCACATTTTCCCTTCCAAAGACAGCCTTGAAGAGAAAAGTGAAAAACACAGCTCAAACTGGGATTTTTCTGACTTTGCACTGAGGCAAAGGCAAGCTAGGCAGCCTGAGAGCTGCATTTGATTGGCTGAGTGAATTCAGCAGTGGTGAGTCATAAAGGGGCCCAGGGAGAGTTAAGATATGAGCAAACGGTAACCTTCAAAAATCCAAACCTAATATGTCAACTTTCCCGTAGCTTTGCATAACAGCTAGGACTTTAGCATCAAACGCTCACCAGGTGAGTTTTACATTCCCAAAAATTGGTGGAAAAACTAGGTCATGCACTTCCAGCAGTGCAGCCAGTATTGAATGGTACGAAGGTCTGACACTTCAAACTGACAAAGCAGAAACTTTGCAAAACAATCAGGTTTTCCTCTGCCCTTTATTTCTCGCTTCCTTAGTCCAAACATCATTTTTCCTTCCTGTAATTCTCCAGATTTAAAAAAAAAGTGTCACTCGGCATTATCGCAGCTGCCGTTCCACAGACTTAAGCACTTTTCACTGATGTGACAGTAAAACCTCATTGTGAGAACACACTGACCCGACATTAACAAGATTACCAGCTGCCCAGTTGCCACTCCTATGGAACAATGTTGTTTATCTGGCTTTGATCATAACTTTTTGGCATAGCCAACATAACAAACATATCTTTTCTAAGAACTACCAGGAATGCTGAGAGGAAAACACTGCAGGTCATCCTTCATTTATCCACAACGTTTTGTGTCTGTATTTCAGGAGGTTTGCAGGTAACTCGCAGCATTAAGTCACATTTTGTTATATAATCCCTAACACACCTGGGAGCAGGGAAGCAGTTACAGGTCTTTAAGTTAAGAAATCATGTATAACTACTTCAAGGCTCCTCCGTCTCAAGGGGCATTTTTGTTCTTATGAAGAACACCAGAAGTCTGCAGCAGGAGTTTATAAGTGCTCATTTCCGTGCTGTGGGCTTATTCAGAGCATTTTTCCTTGCCTCTTCAAAACACTAATGAACCCTCTGCACCCTTCCAACTCTAGGTCCTGCACCTACTACCTCTCCCTCCCTCCCTCCCTCAGTCTTCCGTGCAGTTCTGGCCTGGACATAAGAGTCACTGATGGATTAATGAAAACACAGCAGGTCCCCATCGTAGTGAGAAAAAAAAAAGGTTGGGGAAATAGACAAAGACTGGAATGAGGAAATGATGTTTAGATGGAGGTGTGATGGGGGAGGTAGTCTGAGATGCACCGAATGACTCACAGATTAATGCTACTTATGACATCTTCCCTGTCCAAACCAAATCTGTCCTGTCCTCTGTGGAGGTGGGGGAGGGGGGAGTGACCCATAAGGAGAGGGCATTCATAGGGAGAACTTCAGCTGTAGTAAAAGCACAACTGGCATGAAATTTAACGGTCCAGTGGGCGTGGAAATTTACACAAAACTCAAAGAGCTGCACTTTCTCCATTTGCTTTGTGATGTCAGCAAGTTACTTTGTCTGGAAATGTTCTATATTTCTCCATTTTCTGCTGCGAGCGACCAGTGAGCTAAGGCCAGCTGGCGGACTAAGTGCACAAATCCACTTGAGCAGTTTGGTGACAAGAGCCAGTTGTTAGGAAAACCCTGAAACGTGACTCGAGGCAGCACCACAATGTGGACTGAACCACCATCCCTTAAAACAGTCACACTGTCAACGGCCAGCACAATCTGCAACTTCAAAACGCTGCCACGTGTTTTGTTCCAAACTCAATGTGACTGGCGAAAATCCTGCGTGTTCAGCTGCTGTAAAAGAAAGAGAGAAAGAAGGAAAGAAAGAAAGAAAAAAGGCGAGCTGTGTTGTGTTTTTGGTAATGATGGGTTGGTGCAGAGGCGAACGAGATAAGGTGGGTGGACAATCATTTGCCTGACAGCGGTGAAAAGCACACATAGCAGGGGGTATCACGACATCCACCCACTCTGACCACAAGCTGACCGGCACATTTAGAGACCAGACACTGAGCTCCTACACACCTCTAAACACACTTGTAGATGTAATGATAAACCCACATAACACGCTTTGGGGGTGCTTAGAAAAGAAAAGCAATGAGTCACTGGTAGACACAGCAAGACAATAAAATTAGAGGGTGGACGTTTCTGCAGCCAACTGGCGTGGAGAACTCTCCAACTCAGATGAATGTAATCACGCACACATGTGGGGGGATCTCCACCCTTCAGATCATCATAGCAAGGAGCCAGCTAATCACAAATCTATTTATACCCTTAAAATAATGGGCTGGTACATTAACAGATTACAGAACGTCAGCTTAACGTTTCCACATTAGAGGGAGAGATAGGAAGGAGAGAAAAAAATACTGCATGCAGGACTGAGAAAAAATACATTAAAAAATGTGACAAAAAATTATATTCAGGACATGATTGAGCCAAGTGCATTTGACGATTTTCACCCCCACACACAACCATCGTTACTATCAAGGGGAGAGGAGGCTTTCAGGAGATGTTTGGGCCTTTCACCTACGATTTTGCATGTCGCTGGTTTTGCAGGACATGAGCGATAACTCACAGCAATCTGTTTATACCGCCATGATGGTAATGGACATATACCTTCACAGGACACATACAAGACACATTTGCACAAATATTACAGAGCACGCTGCCCTCCAAGGGTTGCCATTACATAAGAGGGAAGGGGGGGGGATGAAGTCCTGCTATTTTTACATCCGCAAATACCTTCAGAAAACAGTCTGAGCACAAGAAGGAATCGACAAACTCGGAGCGAGACAAGATATGAGGAGACCAGAATGCAAATGGCAATGACGATGTGTGGGGCTTATTCAGAAACCAACCAAGATGCACAAGAACTGTCCCTGGGTGAGTTTGAGAAAGCTGTGCAGGAGAGAAGGCGTGGGGTGGATCATCACGAGAATGAGGATGACAGCCTTATAGGAGCATGACAGTGTAAGAAATGTGTGGGTTTAAAAAAAATAAATAAAAAGTATTCATCTCTAAAGCAAGCAGAGAATATGACATATTCAAATGTGTTGCATACATATGGCTATAAGCACGACATCAACCTACCAAGTGTTCCCTCTATTACAATGAGTCCTCTCTATTAAAAGAGCAGGTTGTGGGCATTGACAAAGACATACTTAGCACAGACTTTTGCAAAGGCTCTAACAGAACATGCATCTTCTTTCAGACAATAAATCATGGCGAACAGAGACAAATTCAAAGCACATATTTGATTCTGTGTGGGTGGCTGCGAGCATGGCTAGCATCGAGAGACAAACATACTGATGTCAGACCCAGCTGCCAACAAATCCTCCTGACACAAAGCCATTCAGGCACTCTATAAATCAGTGTCTAACTGCCACTAAAACTGGGCTATAGGGGATCATATCCAGACTGTCACCGCTCTACATTTATCAAACTGCACAGACTATCTCAACTCTGAAGTACACACCGAGCTGAAAATTCATTGGCCTACAAACCAAAGTCTTTCGCCATCAATATTCTCAAACCAAAGCTGTTGACTTTTTTAATTAGCACTAATCCATGTAACATAAATCAACATGCCTCAAAAACACCGTAGTTACAAAAATTTTTTTACAGAACACCAGTCCCCATACACACACACACACAACTACTCCTTTACGGGAAATGTGAGCCCACATTAAGCAGTTGAGATTGTTGAAGGATTAGGAATAGCATTCAAGAATTAGAAGAGAATGCAAGACCTCCATAACCTCTATAAGAGGAAGAACGACGGAAGTAAAAACATTCTGAGCAAATAAGCGACTTTTACCGAAAATAAACATCTTCAACACAGGTTCTCCTTGAGCTCTGACACTAATCTAGTAGAATATCCTCGTAAGAGTCCAAGTGCACATAGCACACTTTCAGGGGACGCCGCACTCTGGACACAGATGTAGACTAGCACAAAAAAGCTTAGGAGGAAATACGTTTATAGAATGTAGGAAAACCTGTCCAACGGCAGATGCCTCACATTGCACAGCGTAGAACACACACGCATACACACACACACACACATCAACACGCAGTGGAAAAAGTGATTGTTATTCCTACCATACATCGATCGTGATGTGGGAGTCGCTCACTACAGACGCTTATGTGTCCTTATTGCAGCCTCAGCTCCTCATTCAGATAAAGTGCTGTGCCGACAGGCACTGATATTGCGCACATACACACTCTGCTCACTCTGGGATAAATGCCTGCACGTGCGCTTGGAGCTAAAAGGCATATGAATGTGCGCTGCGATTGGTGCAGAGCCTGGCTCGACGTTATGAATTACACACACCCTCCCTCTCTCCCTGGCCATGAAGACACACATCCCAGCATTTACACACTTGCGCACAAACGGGGCTGCGAGACAACGTCAGAGCAAGGCATGCTGTGATGACCTTGGATTTTCCCTATCCTCCTGCAACAGCGCTCCTTGTCAACGGGACAGAGCAGCGCGCCCAGGCAAGCAGTCACCCCGCTCAAATACATCACAAGCAGAAAAGAAGCACAGGGAAACAGGAGAGTAAGGAGGAAATATGCACCGATGGAAAGGGAAAAGACCTCCCTCCCACATTGCATCCTCCTCTCTATGAGTGTCGCTCTTTCCTCCTCATCATTATTCTTCCCGTAGCTCCTGATTTGTCAGTTTTTCCGTCTAAGCTTATGTAACTTTGTTGCATTTTCCAGCCAACAAGCAAATGCCCAAAGCCGATTTTTTTCCCCTCTTTCTTTTTTAAGACATTTGAAAAGACATGACTTCTATGCTAACGGCTGCAATGTTGCACGGAGGACAGCTGAGACGGTCGTGATCAGTCAGTCAATCTTTTGAGTGTAATAAAATATTATTGTGTTTCTGTAAACACTGTATTAAAATACTAGCCGCAAGCTCACACCGCAGAGCTTTCGAATCATTACCTTCTTGCGAGCACAAAGCCTCATCTGTGACAGATATTAAAAATCAGGAAATGTTGATGGTAAAATAACTGGCCCTAGTGCATGAATCTGCAGAGGAGCAGACACCTCAAGATGCTGCAGTGTCCTTGTGAAATTTGAAATGGGTGCTTTAGATATGAATCATTTTAACTCTTTGGCTTCCAACTACTCAATTTTAATATCAATAAGAGTATTTAAAAACTGAAACAAAAAATCTAATTGAAAAATGATACAAATGTCCTGCATCAAGGACATTTAGGGGTTAGGGGTTGCTGTGAGGAGTTTACATCTCCATGGGGCCCCTCCCAAAGTCCAAAAACATACACCTTAAGTTAACCGAAGACTGTTGTCCCTAAGAGTGGACGCCAGTGTGTGTGGTTGTTCCTCTCTGCGTGGCCTTGTGAAAGACGGGTGACCTGTCCGGGGTGTGCTCAATGTCAGCTGGGATAAGCTCCAGCCCCCTCCCCTCAAAACACTGTGGCTTTTTTTCCACATTTATTTTCTGTACTTGAATGCTGTCACTTTATTCAATTGAAAGTAATGTTTTCTGTGCTGACGCATTCTTGCAACAGTTCCAACCAAACCCTCTGGAGCAAGTGATTCACTGTCTACTCCCATTTCTCTGAGAAAAACATCTCAAGATTTAGAAGTTGACTGTACACAGCAGCAGCTGGTGCCTGGTCATGTATTGTGCAGGTTCTTCTCAGGTAATTCAAAGACTACGACAAACTATAAAATAAGCCTAGCACCTCTTAACAGGAGAAGTTCTCAGAGCATGTCAAACTTACAGTAGTAGCATGTTCAGGCGTCATGGAAAAATAAGAAGGAACGTAACTTTAGATCTTAGAAATCATTCTCTGTTCATGGAACTTAAAAAACGGAGAGGGCACAGAGGGAGAACAAAGGAGGTGGTGTTACATACCCTTGCCAACGCGATGGTCCAGAAGGGTACGGCAGTCCAGTGCCAGCCTCTGAGTGGCTGGGACATCAGTTACAGGCAAAGGCATCGCAGGCAATAAACACACACACACACACACACACACACACACACACTCAGACACACACAACTACTCTGATAGACGCAGCAGCCTTCTGAACCGAAATTTGTGTAATGCTACAATCGGCAGACAAAATACGTGCAACCCTCCGGTTATTCAAAAATGTTTTTAAAACATCACCACAGATTCAAACAGACGAAACAGCTGAAATTAGTCAGCACAGATTCCACTCACGCACAAACTCTTAGCAAGTCCTGTCAGAACGGGAATGCCAACTGCTGCAAGAAGTTTTAAAACCCCAACTCACAAACACGAGCCCCCTCTGAGCACAAACTTCTGCACATCCCTGTCCCGAGGCTTCATAGTCATTTCTCTTAGTACAAAGGCAAGTTGCCCGCATTAACCAAGAGATTAGTGATAAGTCCTTCAATAGCAGCTCTGCTCTCAGTGTGCGTCTTTCTCATTAATAAACATCTCACTGACAATAGAACTCACTATCCAACCACACACAGAGGGTGGAGAGAAGCTGGGAAAAAGGGGCACCGTGGGATAGCAATTCACTTTGTGGGCTTGTCTCTCAGGGAATTTAACCACGAATGCTACCGTGTGCGACCGCAAGCAAAGTATCTGCTGAGTTTTTTTCTGTGTAAGTTCACCCATCAAACAGACACACGTACACGTCCATGAACTAAAAATACCAAAGCAAAGCTTGTCCCGCAGCACATCTTGGTTTTTTTTTCTGTTAGCAGGGCTTTGGAATGGAGTCTGCTTAGCTTAAATATTTTCAGGAAACCATCTCTACTACGTCTTGTCTCAGGTTTCAGGCATGAATCATCCCTCATTGCAAGGATGCAGCAGGTGTAGACTAGTTTGGTGTTACTCACCTGTCATGACGCAAATCAGTCACAAGGAGGCGTTGCTCCTCCAGCCTCAGAGCGATGGGGAGGTGGGTTGCACTTCGGCGCCGGACGAAACCTCCACCGGGGCTTCACGAATCAGGAAAACCGCTGGCTTATCTCTGGCCTGCTAATGTCAGTGAGCCCAAATTACTCCAAAGTACTGGCATATTTGTTGGTGTAAACATATCCGAAGTACTGAAAATAGATAGAAATCTATAATTGTAAGTAATAAGTCACTGGCAAGTTAGCGCCACCTGGACGGAAATTTTTCAATCATAACACTTAACAAAAATGTATAAATATTACCTACGCTAGATTTCACCATAACATCTTATACTATTTTCCCTTTGTTAAGAGTCTAACGAAAGGGTAAAAAATAAACCTCGCAGCGTTAACTCATCTTACGTGAACAGTGTGTTAAGTTGATTTAGCGTTCTACTATGCTGACAGTAGTTAGCCATGCTAACGTAAAATGGCTAACTGCTTGGTTGCTTACCATGAACAAAATAACCCCAAAAAAAAGTAATCCTTCAAACGCTTAGCACACAATAGGTTTACATAGGTAACATTGTCTAAAGTTCCGCTAAGCCAGAGAACCACTCATTTGGCACACACTCTTCTTGCCACCTGCTATACAGGCTAGCTCACAGAGACCACCACTGGATACCATAGACACCACTTTATTGTCAACACGTTTGAACATAATCAGCTTCCACCGGATATGTCCGTGTATATGTGGACACTTCATTCACTTAGATAATGTGTAACAAAAAACAAAACGTCACACAAATAAGGGTGGAGAATTGAATGATCTTACCAAATTAGATTTAATAGTAAAATCGAAAATGTTAGCTAAATACATTAGATGGACTGTAGTCACTGTTGCTAATGTAGAGAAAAAAGTCAACCATATTGATGACTTTTTTAAATGTGGCTTGTTTCCTCTAAATGTCCAAAACAGATCAAATACATATTCAGAACTCACTTTATAGTTAGTCCGCTAAAATGTGTAAGGACCCACTCTCATAAAAGTTGGGATAATGCTGTACACACAAAATGCTATAATTTGCAGAACCCATTCACCAATATTACATTTTAAATGGAGTATAGAAATATCAAAAGTTGACAGTATATTTGATATATTTTAATTAAAAGCAGAAATATAAGTTTAGATTTTTTTTTTTTTTTTTGTTCTATGAGAAAATTGCATTATTGGATAATTCACAGCTATAACTGTTGGCAGAGGAAAGAACCTTATATTTGTGTGTTACAGCAAAGGCTTCAAATATTGCCATGCTCCTTTATTTTCTGGCAAAGTTCTGAAGAGGGCGGGCAGTGTTGTTTCTGTCTCAAAGAATCTGGAGCATTTCTTTGAGTCACTGGCTGTGATACATCTTAGCAGACTGCACTCTTCACCATAGATTGTTAAAGATAAACAGTATCTCAGTGCAGACACTGGTTGACCTAAGTTTTCTCAAGATTTACTCTCTGATACCAACTTTCTTGAAGACACCCTTGTTCTTGCATTTCCAGTCCAGTCAGCTGTCCAGGTAGTTTATGTGTTGGTTCCTTAACCATTTCCCCCTCTTCACCATGAATGAAACAAATTTAAAAAAGGCTGCAAGTGGGGGCAGTAGAAAATAGGAAAAAGTCAATATAGCTACAAAAGACATACCCAGAAGTATATGTCACTGCTAATTCATCAAAAACTGGCAACAGATCTATCAGACGTAAAGATACACTGAACTTCAGCAATCTGAAAAAAGTGTACACAAATATAAACAAATGTAAAATTATTACAAATGGTCCTGACAAATAATATGTAATAATAATAATAATAATAATAATAATAATAATAATAATAATAATAATAATAATAATAATAA